TCCATTGCCACCTCGACGATTTTTAGAGGACTTTTTGGCCATAATCTGCTCGCCTAGTTTACTTTGTTACGGAGACGCTTGTACTGCTCAGAATAGCGGTCTCTGTTAAATGCAACTTGACGCTCGCGTATAGCCTTCTTAAACACATTATTAACCCATGGTTTGTCTCGGCTGTTTTCTTAACAGTAACAATAGGGAAATGTCTATCAATTAAAACCATCACTTGATCACTATAAAACTTGAACTGACTTGCACAGTCATTCAAACGGTATAGGTCCTGCCAACGTATATTACGTAGATCACACGCGAAAAGTTCTTTAGAAATTCTGTTCACCAATCGTTTACGTTTGGTGACACTAAAACCAGATATTTTGGGCATACAAAAGTTAGGGTTCCAACCGACCGCTCCATTTATTATTTAGAATGACCAAAATTAAAATACTTAAAATTGAAAAAAAAACAATTCTTAAAATTGGGGGAAAAAAATGAATAAAAAGACACATTTCCGAACTCACGACCTTAAGTTATTTACAACACATCCTTAACCGACCGCGCCATTCATTCGACGTGCCTTGCTAGTGGAAATGGCAATGATGTACAGTCCTTGCTGAAACCCTTGTTTTATTATAGGTGTAGTGGGAACCCATGGGGTCCAACTTAAAAAAAGGCGATGAACGTTTGTCGGATCCAAATCACCTCTAGCTTATGCGTACACTAATTGTCCTGCACGTCCGTTCAAAACTGGCGACGCTGGACGCTTTTAAAGCTTGAAACCCCTGTTTTGTTTTGTAGGTGTAGGGGGAACCCTGAGGTTCAACTTAAAAAAGGACGATAAACGTTTGTTGGAAATTTCCCACTAGTTTGTGTGTACAACATTTCCTGCACGTCCGTTTAAAATTTCCGACGCTGGACGACTTTAAAGTTTGAAACCCCTGCTTTTTTTGTAGGTGTAGGGGGAGCTCTGGGGTCCAACTTAAAAAAAGGGCGATGAACGTTTGTTGGAAATCCCCTCTAGTTTATGCGTACAAATTTTCCTGCACGTCCATTCAAAACTGGCGACGCTGGAAAGCTTTTAAAGTTTGAAACCCCTGTTTTGTTCTGTAGGTGTAGGGAAACCCTGGGGTTCAACATAAAAACAGGCGATGAACGTTTGTTGGAAATCCCCTCTCTCTAGTTTATGTGTACAAATTTTCCTGCACGTCCGTTCAAAACTGGCGACGCTGGACGCTTTTAAAGTTTGGATTCGAATTCCTTGATGTCTATATTTTTATAATTATTTTAAGAATTTAACCTCAAAGCTTATCTTATTTTTGTTGGTTATTACGCACCACTGATTTGGGTCGTTTTACATGGTGATCACTTCAAAATGTCTATCAATAATGCGTGGTAAAGGCGTCTTCTTCACATACTCGAACGGACGCTCAAACGTCATTTCGAAATTAGGCCTACACATAACATAATGTGCCTTGGTTATAACAAGGAGGTATAAAAATATTTGTATACCTCCTTGGTTATAACCTTTGATGTCCCGAGATGTGCGTCCTTCTGTTGAATTGCCTTGGTCCAAACAAACCACATAACGTTATGTCCACCACATGATATCATGACCAAACCGCATACATCATGACCAAACCGCATACATCATGACTAAACCACATAACATCATGACTAAACCGCATACATCATGACTAAACCACATAACATCATAACCAAAACCACATAACGTCATGACCATACCATACGTCATAACAATTAGAGTGTTTGCACATAACCGAAGATACTAACGGCGTTCCATAAACCGACTAACGGCGTTCCATATTAAAGAGCCAGGATTCGATATTCCGGAATAAGTTGACAGCGCGTTCCACATCAATGCGTATCATCAAAATCATCAAATCATAATAATTTATAATACGAATGAGATTTAGACCCTATTTGAGGTAGGTCTATATTTAGAAAACGCACTCTATCTCTAGCCTATGCCCCTAGTTAAGACTTTATTAAGGTTAGGCTAGGCAAGCAAGGAGAGTGAGAGGCTATATTTTAAGCCTAGCTTCGGCTAGCCTAGTAGTAGTAGGCCCACTTCTCCTCCTACCTAGGCCTAGCCTAACCTAGAGTCTAGAGAGATTTGCTCTCCAAACCACATACGGCCAGCCAGGGAGGTAAGGCTAGGCTTAGGCCTACTTCTTCTAATTTCAAAGGCGACCTCAAAAAAAAAAAGTGCACACCATAATAAATGTCGAACTATTGAATCCCAACACTATAGACTATAGTGTTGGGATTCAATAGTTCGACATTATTATGGTGTGCACTTTTTTTTTTTGAGGTAAAAAAAAGTACGATAAACCGATTGACGAACTTGCAATGATAATTAGGCCTAGTTATATTAAATTTCGCGTTTCGAAACTCCATTGGCGTTCCATATATTTGTTGAAAACAAACTGCGACCGAAATGAAGCGCGACTGAAACGAAGCGCGACCGAAATGATCTGTATTCGCAATTAACGCACTACATTCACTGAGAGACACGCTTGGCGTTTCATAGAAATGACCGGCGGCTCAACTTGTCGGACTATAGTATAGTCTATGATGGTATGTATTACATTTTTTGGATTTTGATTTGAATTTTATTATTTATTTTGTTCACTTTTGAATCAATGCCACCTACCTATCATATTAGTGATGGTGTGTCCAGGGCATATGAACGGTTGAGCCACCGACAATTTGAGCCGCCGGTCATTTCTATGAAACGCCAAGCGTGTCTCTCAGTGAATGTAGTGCGTTGATTGCGAATACAGATCATTTCGGTCGCGCTTCGTTTCAGTCGCGCTTCATTTCGGTCGCGGTTTTTTTTCAACAAATATATGGAACGCCAATGGAGTTTCGAAACGCGAAATTTAATATAACTAGGCCTAATTATCATTGCAAGTTCGTCAATCGGTTTATCATACTTTTTTTTATTTATGTTTTGTTGTATTTCTAATAAGTAACAACAGGCTACTTAAAAGCAAATAAAATTAATAATTATTACTAAACTATCAATTAATATTATCGGACGGTTTTTATTTTCGTTTTGTTATGAATCCTATGCTTTCTACTACATATCAAATACAGCAAATTAAATAAATACTAAAATATGATATGATGTTATATATTATTATTATTATTATTATTATTAATATTATTATTATATTATTATTTTTATTTATTTACATTGTATCTGGAAAAATCAGCCAATTTGTCATTTAAATTACTGTAATTACCCCTTTGATGAACAATCCTGATCTCAATATGCAAATTAAACATGTTAACTTAAAACTTGTAAGTTACATGTCAGCAATCTTATATGCAAGGTCTTAGACACCTTGCATGTATTTTACTATCTGTTCAACCCCTTTGATAACCAGTGTACCACATAATATATTCAGCATAATAATTACCTATATATAGTCCATAAGAAAAGGGCTCGGTTTACTTTTGTTGTTTCTGTTCATTACTGATGATGGGTTGGTGCCTCACCCGAAACATGTACGTCATTTATTAAATCTTTTGTGTTATTTCTAAGATGTGTGGTATTTTTTGTCAACTTTTGTCCATTTGGTTCAATTATCAAGGATTTCAGTTCAAGAAGTTTTACCTGTAAGAAAATACTTACAAGAAGATTTCTCTTTGTTCAAATAAAGCTGAATTGGATTTTAATTTCAAACTCAATTGCAAGTCATTCGGATTTTCCCTAAGTTTAATGGAGTACAGTATTATCTTTCATGTAATAGGTCAGGTCAAATGTTACACTTTCTATATCAGGAAAAGGTAAAATTAATTATACCATCCTTTCTCATATGAAAGCTAATACTGTAGGGGCCTAATTAACAGTCTTGACTATTGTACACTAAAGGTGTTATGTAATATAATGTATCTTTGAGTGACTAACGTACTAACAATCACTTGGTTAATTACTTTATGGAATATGCAATTGACGATTGCCATTAATTGTTCTGTCATGGCATTTTTAGTTTTGTTTACTGTATTCATTTTTGACGAGTTGCTAACTCGGACAGACTGAGTGTGGTGGCCTGACCCAAGATAGTAGTACAGTATTACTACTACTAGAATACCCATACTGTTAAATAACTATGGTCCTAGTTTACCTTTTTCTACCCTTTTTGGTGAATGCGTAAAACTAGACCTTTTCACCAACATATATTATTTATTAGTTGTGAGGACTGTTTATCTCTGAATTCTTTGAGGTCAACATAATGTCCACTGGATATTGAAAAGATGAGTAATTAGAGCAAAGGGCACAGGGGAGTAGGTCTCAGACACAGTTCATCTCCAATCCCTTACGACTTCACCATCATGTTCTCCATTTTAATTCTTTATTAAACATAGTCCTCCCATGACATTTAACCAGGTACCAAGTGTAGTAGTAAATGGCCCATTAACATGTTAAAGAATGCATTACACTTGATAAGAGAAAGGGAGTGACCCAGTGTACTGCCCAATCACCACTAGAAGAACCCCACTGGGTATTCAGACACGTTTCTGTGAGTTATCTTTGGTTTTCTCATCGAATAAATTCAATCTAATCCAGCACAATCCAATCCAATTAATTCATGAATCAATACAACTTTGTAAAATATAATGTTAATCAAAACATTCCTTCCAGAAAACAACTATAAAATTGGAAAATGGCTATGAAAAGCAGTATTGCTATGCCTCTAGCCACTTTGTACTTTCAAAAACAGTGTGGTACATTTATGTTTTCTTTATTCTTTCCAAATACAGTACTCTACATTGCTTGTGCCCTTTCCACCTGGTAGGTTCGAACACAACTCTACTGATTACTAGCTGCACATTATTATGTAATTCTGGCCGGGTAGCTGAGTATGTGTTCATACGTGCTTGATCCAATGACGGGGGTAATAATGTGAAGTGCTTAGAGAAGTGGCGTATCTAGGGATGCACAGGGGCATACCCCCCTCCAAGAATTACTCGCACCCTCCCCCCTAAAAAAATCACTGTCAAGTTGTTAAACACTATCTAAAATCACCTAATTTTGCAAGTTCACATGCCCTTAACTGATCATCGAGCCACCACTTCACCTTTGCGCTCCTCATCAGCGCCCCCACTTCATGTCTACTAGATGCTTTAGGCATGAAGCACTATATAAGTCCCACATATTATTATTATTACAGTATTAGTATTCTTTGTTCTTTCAAATACAGTACTGTACTGTAACATTTATGTATCCTTTGTTCTTTCAAATACAGTAATGTACATTTATGTGTTCTTAGTTCTTTCAAATATAGTACTGTACATTTATGTATTTTTGTTCAGTATGATTTTTAAGTTTTGATTTTGACTGATAAATGAATAATCGAATGGAGGAGAGATTTTAATGAGAATTTTATTTCATGTTTTTTTCTTATATTTTCAGTACAAAATGTATACCATGATTATTGATTGCTCATGAAAATACTCATGCTGTTAATGATCTTAGAAAACAACCTGACACTGTAAATAGACAGTTAATCATGGAGAACTCAAGTACAAGTGGCATGTCAGAGAGTGATGATGACCAGTACTTTGATGCCACTGAAGATATCCACACAAAAAATGGTACAGAGGAAGTAGACCAAGGCATCAGACATCTAAAATTAGATGATATGTTTGGCAAAACAGAACATGTAATGAATGCACCAGAAGAAAGGGAACCAGTTAACAATGATGATGAACAGACACAAACTACAACTGGAGCAGAGATTGGCAATGTGAAACAGCTAGTATGTCAACAAAGTGGTGATGCCCCCATAGATCCTGATGCTCCACCAGAGATAAAATTAGAAAAATGTAACTTTGAAGGCAATGGTACAGAAAACGATAATTTGAGGCATCATTGTGATGATGATAATGAC